AGGTTCACCAGAAACTTCAAACACAAAAACATTTTTTATAAAAAAATTAATTTACACCAAAAACAATTGCTTAATTTAAGAACATAATGATAAAACTCGAACAAGAAAATTTATATATATATATCGAGGTATATACAGAGTTAAATTTTACGGTCTTTTATTTGACAGCTATATTATACAGAATCTTTTATAACAAGAAAGGAAATCTAACTTCGGGCGGAGCCGAAGTTGATATACCCTTGCAGAATACTCTGTAAATTATATTCTCCAAAATTATTCATATAATGCATTCTTAATACTCATAAAAATCCCAACTTCCTAACTTTAAAAACACCAAAGTTATGGCGTTTCCAATCGTTCAGTTATATGGCAGCTATAGGATATAGTCGGCCGATCCTTATGAAGTTTGGTAGTTCGGATTAATTGACCAAAAAAACAAGAAAGGAAAGCTAACTTCGGGCGGAGCCGAAGTTGATATACCCTTGCAGAATATTATGTACATTATATTCTCCAAAATTATTCATATGATGCATTCTTAATACTCATAAAAAATCCCAATTTCCTAACTTTAAAAACACCAAAGTTATGGCATTTGCAATCGTTCAGTTATATGGCAGCTATAGGATATAGTCGGCCGATCCTTATGAAATTTGGTAGGTCGGATTGGTTGGCTAAAAATAAAACCCATAGAAAATCCCAACTTCCAAACTTTACAAACATCAAAGTTATGGCACTTCCGATCAATCAGTTATATGGCAGCTATAGGATATAGTCGGCCGATCCCGGCCATTCCGACATATATACTGCGTGCAAAGGAAAGAAGGGTGTGTGCAAAGTTTCAGTTCGATATCTTTAAAACTGAGAGACTAGTTTGCGTAGAAACAGACAGACGGACAGACAGACGGACAGACGGACATGGCTATATCAACTCAGGAAGTGATCCTGATCAAGAATATATATACTTTATAGGGTCGGAGATGTCTCCTTCACTGCGTTGCACACTTTCGACCAAAATTATAATACCCTCTGCAAGGGTATAAAAACCCATAGAAAATCCCAACTTCCTAACTTAACAAACACCAAAGTTATGGCATTTCCAATCGTTCAGTTATATGGCAGCTATAGGATATAGTCGGCCGATCCTTATGAAATTTGATAGGTCGGATTGATTGGCTAAAAATAAAACCTGAGAGACTAGTTTGCGTAGAAACAGACAGACAGACAGACGGACATGGCTATATCAACAATATATATACTTTATTGGGTCGGAGATGTCTCCTTCATTGCGTTGCACACTTTTGACCAAAATTATAATACCAAGGGTATAAAAATTAAAATATTGTTGTAGTCGGAACAAAAGGCTATATTTTGAAGTATATGCGTATATGTTAGAAACAACGAATTTATAATATTTTGTAAATTATTTTTCGATTCCAATCTTTCTACTGCCTGTAATAGAAGAAAAACTTCAGCGAAAGTATTATTCAGACAGCTTTAAATTGGGGAGACTAGGACAGATAGACATGGCTAAATACGTTATTCGGTCGAAGATGTCTCCTTCATTGCGGTGAAAACTTCTGAATGAATTTTTAAAACACCATAAAATATGTCTAAAGAAATAGACTACAATTTTATACCCTTGCAGAGCATATTATAATTTCATTCAAAAGTTTGCACGCAGTGAAGGAGACATTTCCGACCGTGTAAAGTATATATATATATATTTTTGATCAGTATCGCCAGGAGAGTCAATCTAGCCATATCCGTCTGTCCGTCTCTCTGTCCGTCTCTCCATCCGTCTGTCGGTCCGTCGAAAAATTAAAAAATTTTTTTTTTCGGATTTTGTAATATTTAAATACTATGCAATTAAGGTTTTAGTTAAATTAAAATCAGCTCCCATAGGAAAATCGAAAAATTAAAAATACAAATTTGTTTGCTGTTTTTATGTATTAAAATATTCTTTGAGATATAGTAATTATTTCCTTTTAGTTTTGTTAAAATCGGAAAACAATATCATATAACTGCCATTAAACGATCACAAAATGCAGCGCAAAATCGACATAGCTTTATTTTGTTTAACAATATAGGCATAGAAATCGAAATGTAGTCGTTTTGTAATAACTGTTTCTTGTTTTAAAATGGATCTGATTTAAATGTGTTTAATTAAAGATGAATCTAGAGTACGGCGAAAAAATGTATAATCTGATCCATACAGCGATTTGTGGGTTTAATAAAATTTTTTTTTTGTTGATGAAAAAACATATTTTGGTAAAAAGCATGGCCCAAAAACAATTGGTTGGTTTATGTTTTCGGTTAGCTTTCGGGTTTTAAAATATTACTTAATATTTTGTACAAAAAAACTCAATATAAGTTTTTTTGGCCCTAATTCAACGAAAAACAAGAAAGGAAAGCTAACTTCGGGCGGAGCCGAAGTTGAAATACCCTTGCAGAATATTCTGCAAATTATATTCTCCAAAATTATTCATATGATTCTTAATACTCATAAAAAATCCCAACTTCCTAACTTTAAAAACACCAAAGTTATGGCATTTCCAATCGTTCAGTTATGTATATGGCAGCTATAGAATATAGTCGGCCGATCCTTATGAAATTTGATATGTCGGATTGATTGGGCAAAAATAAAACCCATAGAAAATCCCAACTTCCTAACTTAACAAACACCAAAGTTATGGCATTTCCGATCAATCAGTTATATGGCAGCTATAAGATATAGTCGGCCGATCCTTAAGAAATTTGGTAGGTCGGATTAATTGGCCAAATATAAAACCCATAGAAAATCCCAACTTCCTAACTTAACAAACACCAAAGTTATGGCATTTCCGATCAATCAGTTATATGGCAGCTATAAGATATAGTCGGCCGATCCTTAAGAAATTTGGTAGGTCGGATTAATTGGCCATATATAAAACCCATAGAAAATCCCAACTTCCTTACTTTACAAACACCAAAGTTATGGCATTTCCGATCAATCAGTTATATGGCAGCTATAGGATATAGTCGGCCGATCCCGGCCGTTCCGACTTATATACTGCGTGCAAAGTAAAGAAGGGTGTGCGCAAAGTTTCAATTCGATATCTTTAAAACTGAGAGACTAGTTCGCGTAGAAACAGACAGACGGACAGACAGACGGACAGACAGACGGACAGACGGACAGACGGACATGGCTATATCAACTCAGGAGGTGATCCTGATCAAGAATATATATACTTTATAGGGTCGGAGATGTCTCCTTCACTGCGTTGCACACTTTTGACCAAAATTGTAATACCCTCTGCAAGGGTATAACAAGAGAGAACGCTATAGTCGGATGCCCCGACTATCAGATACCCGTTACTCAGGTAAAGGGAGTGCGAGGGAGATGGAGATAGAAACTTTGATCACGCATAACTTTTTAACGAATGGTCCGATTTGAAAAATTTCTTTTACATTTCGATAGGTATTGATAAACACAATAAAACTGCATTTTTACTCTTCCGAAATATTTAAATTTTTAAAATCGTATATAAGCGATTGTGGGCGTTAAAGGGGGCGTGGCACCTTTTCGAAACAAACTTGCGCTGCGTAGGAACTCCTAGAATCTGCATGCAAAATGCCAATCTTCTAGCTTTTATTGTTTCCGAGATCTCAGCGTTCATACGGACAGACAGACGGACAGACGGACATGGCTATATCGACTCGGCTAGTGACCCTGATCAAGAATATATATACTTTATAGGGTCGGAAACGCTTCCTTCTAGCTGTTACATACTTTTGCACGAATACAATATACCCTTTTACTCTACGAGTAACGGGTATAATTAAACTTTATTAGTACATCAAAGACAGTTTAAAATGAAATTTAATTCATTCTTTTTTGGGTACTTTATTAGTTTATTATATTACATACAATAGAAAACGCTTACTTTATAGCGTAGGCGATGTATATCCTAAAGTTATTAAAATGTAACTGAAATAATTTGCTTAGTTTACATACCTAAAGTACGTGTCTGGTGTTTGAGAACGAATTTTAGACTTGGTGAAACTGCTATGAAATGTTCGTTTGTCACGATGGGTGTCACCACAAAGTACGTGCGCTGCCTTTACCCTACCCGTGTTTTTCCAATTGGACGAAAACTTAGCAGTGATGCTCTCTGAATTCGAAATAGTTCAACACCTTTTGTGTTACCTCCACCACTTATACATATGCATCGATATTTTTTGGGCATTGAACTTTAGATTGTGCTGCTTTAAGTTCCTTCTGCTCTTGCGCATATAAACATGAGATCATATGCGGCATGGTGGGCCAGTTGATGTTTGGTTTGGTATTTATTTTGGCGAATTTATTCTGATAGGTATTGTGATCATTTAAAAAAGGCCAATTACGTGCCCACAATAATTAATTACTGGCTGGATAGACTACAATTCGGTAATCAAGAAGAAATTCAAGTTTTTGGTAGTGTTTTAATCTTCTTACCTAGACATGATAGACACGATGAACAGACTCGACGATGTATGGGCGATTAAAAATGATGAGTTGTTAGACTTGATCATTATCCGGCCTATTGATATTTTTTTACCTGTACTCAGAGTGCAAGGATACACTAGATTCCTTGAAAATATTTAACACTATTATACGCTTTAACAAGAAAGGAAAGCCAACTTCGGGCGGAGCCGAAATTAATATACCCTTGCAGAATATTCTGTAAATTATATTCTCCAAAATTATTCATATAATGCATCCTGATCAAAAATATATATACTTTATAGGGTCGGAGAAGTCTCCTTCACTGCGTTGCACACTTTTGACCAAAATTATAATACCTTCTGCAAGGGTATAAAAATTAATGGATAATGCTGTCTTATTAACACATTAAGCATGTTAAAAATGATCACAACCGGGCATATATTTTTAATAAGATAAGATCAATAACACCTTGGATATTACATATCCGGTTAAAAACTAATGTTAGTTGCATACTAAAATAAGTACTCTTTTTCAGAAAACTTCAATTCTGTTAGGGAGTGACCATGCCATCCACTGAATAAATTGGTAAGTTACACTGTCTATTAATTCACATCAATATTATTATTATTGTGGACAATTCGCAAATTCGAATTTAAAAAATCAAATCATATTCATATTTTCTAAATGGATAATTTTGAGGAAATATTATTCATCTAAAAATGTTGTTCTTCATTGTTATTTTATTTTTACTTTCTTGAATTCTTTTTTTATATGGTCGACAGTTGCGCTGCTGGTCTCCAAACTCACGTTCAGATTGTCACACAGTTAAATAGTGCTCACCCAAACACTGTCGTCTCGATTTAACGGCTTAACAGCTCGACCCGTCCTGTCTTTTCTTTCTGTTCCAACCAGCCCGAATCACAATCCCCAATCCAATTTCGACTCCCGTACCAGTCTCGTCTCACAAGATCCGTATTGTGTTTTGGCCTATGGAGCTCGTACATCACTTTGTTCTGAGAAAAATGAGGCAAAGAAAACAATTCCTTTAATAAAATACAATACATTTTTCTTCATCTTTGTTTTTGTCCCCTTTTGATATTGTATTTATGCGTGTGTGTGTTTTCAGTGCATAAATTCGTTTTATTATTGCTGTTTTACTTCTTCTCAGATGCCCTTACTGGGTCTTTGAGTCAAAATCCTTATCCCCGTGGAAATCCTCGTTTTCATCCTGCTTGCTGCTGTTCATTGTTATTTATGAATTCATGGATTCAAATTGTTAGCCGACATTGGCTATACAACCTTATTTTGTTTAAACTGAAAGGCATCTTATTAAATTTTAAGTTGACTTGATAGTTTCGAATGCTTTAAGGTTTTAATAATATTAATCATTTTTGTATATTTATTTTTTATATATATAAATATTAATAATATTAACCTATTCCTGTGTTAAATTTTCTTTCTTTCCTTAAGTTTAATACCTTTGCAAACAGTATTATAATTTCAGTCAATAGTTTTTTGATCATATTATATGAAAATATGATAACTTTTTGTTTTTCAGCAAATAGGCATATACCCCGAGCTATTAAGGTTTTCGCAAAATCTACATTAATTTAACGTTTTAAAACATATACGCACAAAAATATATAGTAGTTTTATAGAATTTTTAAATTGTATAATAGCTGCAAGGGATATAATCTTTGGATGTTTCGAGTTCGACATTAATTTTAATGAAAACATCATTTTAAATTTTAAATCTTTTAAGACATATTCTGGTCGATTTTTTAAAACGAAACTACTAGCTAATTTCTTAGCAACACGATAACCTATTATATACAAATTAATAATGGGCGATGAACGGACTTTAGCCCTATTTTGTCTCCAGTTGTTACCTTGTTAAAATGTTTGATGTTTTGTATGTCTGGTAAGCTTGCAATTAACATATTCATGCGGCGAAAACAATCGGCGTCAATTTTAATGAAGGCTAAAAAGTAAATTTATTGGTGTTTTTCTATACTCCTTTCGTAAATTTAAAAAACAGTTCATCAACTGAAACTTTGTGATCTCGTCTCGAACCCGGGAACTCATACCGCTTAGCTTTCGCCTCCTGGTTTCTTTTTTGTCGCGATTCTGTGCCTCCCCAGGTATATCGTATCGATTCATTGATCTTACCGAAATGAATGATTGTGGGGCTCTGGCGGAATCAAATTGCCACATATATATACACATACATGAATAAATACTCCTAAAAACGAATCAACACAAACCAAGCCAACGACAAAGGGGAATAACAATGCAAGCGCAACCTCGGACATCGTCTGGTACCTCCAGACCCTCGGCAAATGACACTTTTGTTTTATATTCGCAACTTTTTATGCTGGATCTCTGAGAACAAAAGACGATTTCTTAGTAAAAAAAAAACTGAACACAATCACAGACATACCGATTGTGTATTGTACTTGGTGATTGTACCTTCCCTGACTACTCTCCAGCCCATACGGCTTTTGCAATCATTAGGTTCGTAGTGGTGCAGAGCACTTCTTTTCTACAGTTTTGTCTGCTCAGTTTCTTGCTATGATAGGGCAAATATTTAATTTTGTCTTATAAAAGAAAATATAAAATCGTTGTATTATTAAGGCGACACAGTTTTCTGAAATAAATTCATTTGAGGAACTCTATTTCCGTTAAAGACTGTACGCAACATAGTAGGTATACATATAAAACTAGAATATATTTACACGGGTTATTGCTTATTAAGCATTTCGTGCGGCATGTCGGAGAACTTAAAATTACTGCGATGACAACAAAAGGTAAAATAGAACACAAACAATGTTAACCGAGTAATTACCGAGCTCAGCTCGACTGGACAATTATCTGAAATGCGTTTTCCCAAGTGCATTATACCTATTTAATGGTAACTCTGGCTCTGATGACAACTTAAATATTGTGTGTGCGTGCAATTGCACACCGGTAAACACAGCACTAACACATGTTATTTGAAGTTAGTGTGCATGAACTACAGCAATTGTTCGTACACTCGTAAATACTTAAACCAATAAATCGCTCCTGCATGCAAATGCCATAAAGGGCATGAAATCATTAATATGTTTATGTTTAAACATGTATGTGGATGTCTATAAGTGCTTAAAATAAACCGTACCTTAAAGAAAATTAAATTAATAGTTAACGTAAAAGGAATTTAACTTAAATGATATACCGATATCTATTTTATGTTGTACATCGAGCATAGAATAGCTGATTTTGTGATAGCTATCGACTGCTAAAAGTTGTCTATACAACATTTGCTGTATATATATTTATACCCTTGCAGATGATATTATAATTTTAGTCAAAAGTTTGCAACGCATTTACGACCCTTTAAAGTATATCTATTCTTGATCAGCATCACTAGAAGAGTCGATCAATGTCCGTCCGTCTGTCCGTCCGTCGGTTTCTACGCAAACTAGTCCCTCAGTTTTAAAGCTATCTGCATGAAACTTTCCCAAAAGTTGTCTTTCTATAGCAGGTAGTATATAAAGCCTAGTATCGAGATCGACAAACGATTACGCTAGCGTAAAAACTTTAATCTTTCCAGTGTGACCAAAATTTCGAGAGTTCATCAGATTTAAGCGTGCTACGGTCGTACTGTCAATCAGCTGGGTGTGTTGACAAGCAGTTAAAATTCAAATATCGTATTTGCGGGAAAGAGCCTTTAAAAGATATTATCAAATAACTTGGCAAGACAAGTCTGCCGCTGTACAAAGAAATTAAAAAACAATAAAATTTAAATTTAACAGTTGTTTTTTTTTAATTTACTGATAATTATTTGCTAATTTAAAGTTCATAGCTGCACTTTTATTGTGTTTTTTCGTACATTCTGGACCTAAAAAACATTTTGCTCTGACAAGAGGCACTCCAGATAGTATTAATGTTATTTGAATTTTAACTGCTTGTCAACAAACCCAGCTGATTGACAGTACGACCGTAGCACGCTTAAATATGATGAACTCTCAAATTTTTGGTAACACTGGAAAGATTAAAGTTTTTACGCTAGCGTAATCGTTTGTCGATCTGGATACTAGGCTTTAATCTTTTCGCTAGGGTTCACCCAAAGTTCATTTCCACAGACTGGCAACGCTATGCAATTTTCTGGTATTTTTTTCGTCGATCTGAGGACCGAGGTAAAAAACGTTGACGAAAACTGAACGCCAGCTGTTTGCCTCTCGCTCGATCTGAGTGCTAGGCTTTAGAATTTAAACGACTACACTCTGTCGTTTATAACATGTGGTCAACATCACCATTACTACTACTGAGTTTAATTTTGATTTAATTATACCCTTGCAGAGGGTATTATAATTTTGGTCAAAAGTGTGCAACGCAGTGAAGGAGACATCTCCAACCCTATAAAGTATATATATTCTTGATCAGGATCACCTCCTGAGTTGATATAGCCATGTCCGTCTGTCTGTCCGTCTGTCTGTTTCTACGCGAACTAGTCTCTCAGTTTTAAAGATATCGAATTCAAACTTTGCACACACCCTTCTTTTCTTTGCACGCAGTATATAAGTCGGAACGGCCGGGATCGGCCGACTATATCCTATAGCTGCCATATAACTGATTGATCGGAAATGGCATAACTCTGCTGTTTGTTAAGTTAGGAAGTTGGGACTTTCTATGGGTTTTAAATTTGGCCAATTAATCCGACCTACCAAATTTCATAAGGATCGGCCGACTATATCTTATAGCTGCCATATAACGGATTGATCCGAAATGCCATAACTTTGGTGTTTGTTAAGTTAGAAAGTTGGGATTTTCTATGGGTTTTATTTTTGCCCAATCAATCCGACATATCAAATTTCATAAGGATCGGCCGACTATATCCTATAGCTGCCATATAATTGATTGATCGGAAATTAAATAACTTTGGTGTTTGTAAAGTTAGAAAGTTGGAATTTCCTATGGGTTTTATTTTTGGCCAATTAATCCGACCTACCAAATTTCCATAATGCCATAACTTTGGTGTTTTTAAAGTTAGGAAGGTGGGATTTTTTATGAGTATTAAGAATGCATCATATGAATAATTTTGGAGAATATAATTTGCAGAATATTCCGCAAGGGTATTTCAACTTCGGCTCCGCCCGAAGTTAGCTTTCCTTTCTTGTTTTATTGTAATTATTGTGTAATACCCGTAGTTTTTTCTAAAACTAACTAAAACCTTATTATACCCGTTACTCGTAGAGTAAAAGGGTATATTGTATTCGTGCAAAAGTATGTAACAGCTAGAAGGAAGCGTTTCCGACCCTATAAAGTATATATATTCTTGATCAGGGTCACTAGCCGAGTCGATATAGCCATGTCCGTCTGTCCGTCTGTCTGTCCGTCTGTCTGTCCGTCTGTCTGTCCGTCTGTCTGTCCGTCCGTATGAACGCTGAGATCTCGGAAACTATAAAAGCTAGAAGATTGGCATTTTGTATGCAGATTCTAGGAGTTCCTACGCAGCGCAAGTTTGTTTTAAAAAGGTGTCACGCCCCCTTAAACGCCCACAATCGCTAATATACGATTTTAAAAATTTAAATATTTCGGAAAAG